GGTGTTTTGGGTATTTTCTAGGGTAATTGTCTTTCTGGGAAACTATTTTTTGTATGAGAGATGGGCAATTGTACCCATGGTAGTTTAAATGTTAGTAATGGCAGCCATCTTTAATTTCCATGCTTTGGGGAATTAAAAACCTTCTTTTTCAATATTAAACTTATATTTTCTATTTTAACTATAACTAAAGATAGTTTTGATATCATCTGAGTTAGTTTCCCCCCCCCCCCCCCCCACCCACATACTTGTTTTTTTTTTTTTCTATTCTCCCTTATTTTCATATTTCTTCTTTACTATTTCATCTGCGTATCTTTCTTGCGTATTCATCTTTTGCTTCCCCCACCCCATCCCTTTCTCCCTCAAATATTTTTGTCCTTTCAATTTTTCAGGTTAATACTAATATTTATTTCAGCATTTAATTTAGACACTTTGCATTCACATCATTTTACTCAATATAAATATTTTTGTGAAACTTGGAAAGATATTTTATATTTTTGTTCTCTTCTGTAGTTGTCATCAAGGTAAACCTGCTTTTGTATTTTGTATTGTGTGTTGATTCAAGTTTTGTATTTCAAGTCAGAGTTGTTTATACTTTTCTTCTAAGTATGGTGTTGTACTTTGATTTGTTTTGGTCTTGGATCTTGGTTTGATTTAGTTTGTGTTTGTATTTTTATTTTGTACTTTGATTTATTTTGGATTTGATTTTCATATTTGAGTTTTGTGTATACTTATTCTTTTTGGGTGTACTTTTGGAACTTTGATTTGATTTTGTGTTTTGGAAATAGATCTTGGTACATAGTTTGTGTATTGTTTATATTCAGATTTGAGTTTTGTATTTTTGTTGTTCTGTTCAACTTTGTGTGTTGAATTGAAGTGTAGTTTTTGGAGTTTGATTTTGAATTTATTTTGATTTGAACTTCATCTTGTTTTGATATTTTGTATTTTGGTCTTGTATTTTTGAGTTGGAGTTGGGATTTGAGTTTTGAGATTTTGAATTGGATTTGAGTTGATTTGAACTTGAGTTGGATTTTGTTGTACTTGATTTGTAGTTTAGTTGAGTGTACAATATTTCAATATCGTATTTTCATTTGGTTTGGTCTGTGTGTTTAGTTTGTGTTTTTGTATTTGTGTTTGAAATATGGCATCTAATATTAGTTTTAAGGATGACGAAGTCATGTCCTTACTTGACAGTTTTATTTCTATGGGTGTTAAAACTAATGCCAGGAATAAAGAAGAATTAGAGGCTTGAATGATTGATTTTGCTAAGAGCAAATCCAAGGAGGAGGATGAAGATGAGCATGTGTCTGAATATCAACCACCACCTGTCAAATCAGAGAATGTTAGGTTTTTGTCAGCATCTCCCAGATTATCAACTTTTTCTGGTGATGAATCTTCTAAGTCTGATGTTTGCTTTGATGTGTGGAAATTTGAGGTGGAAGAATTATTAAAGTCTGATCATAAAGATGAAACCATCCGGCACGTTATTTTTCGATCATTAAAAGGAGCTGCAGGTAAAGTTGCTATGCGACTTGGACATTCTGTACCGTTGTACCGTTTAATGGCAAAACTTCAAGGTATATTGATCTGGATGATATTAAACCATCAGCAAGTGATGATATGCTGAGAACTAGGTTCTATAGTGGTCTTCGTGCAGATTTGAAACTCAGATGTGGTCATAAGTATGATGCTACTAAAAATTTTGAAGATTTAGTTGTTCAAGTAAGATGCATTGAACATGAGTTACAACCATCAACATCTGGTTCTAAGAAAGAGGCTCAGGTTAAAGCAACATCAGCAACGAATGAGGACAATGAAGCTTCTATTAAAGTTTTGACAACATCTTTACAGAAGTTGACGTCTGAATTTACCAATTTCAGAAATGAGATGTTAGGTAGTTCAGTTTCTGTCCAACAACATCAAACAAATGAACATCAGTCTGATAGGAGAGTTGAGAAGAGAGTTGATAGGAATGTATCTGGAAGTGAAGAACCCTCCTGTTTTAGGTGTGGACAGACAGGTCATTTGAGAATTGGTTGCCGAGTTAAATTGTCAAATCCTTTAAACAGAAAAACGTCTCTGGCAAAGGGCAGGCAGTAGACGTAAACACCAGTAGCCCTACGCAGATTGTCGGACAAAGTAACATTGCTGATGTCTATCTGAATAGTAATAGATGCAGATCTTTACTAGATAGTGGTTCCCAAGTTTCTACACTTGGAGAAGGTTTCTACAATCAACATCTTAAGGAAACTTGTCCGTTGAATCCTTTAGAGGATCTGTTAGTGTTAACAGGTGCAGGAGGTCATAGTTTGCCTTACAGTGGATATATCGTTGTTGATATATACGTTCCACGTTTAGCATCTAGTAAGGTATCTTGTATATTTTTAGTTGTGCCAGACACTGATTATACTCAGAATGTT